GGCACCTCAGTACAAGACAGACATGGAGGGGCTGGAGCAGGTCTGAAGAAGAGCCCCAAGCTGGGGAAGGGTCGTGAGAAGTCTTCTGAGGAGCAGCTGAGGGACCTGGGGCTGGTCAGTCTGAAGCAGAGGAGGCTGAGGGGAGACCTTATTGCTCTCTACAACTCCCTGACAGGAGGTTGTGCAGAGGGAATGGCCTCAAGCTGCTCCAGGGGAGGTTTAGACTGGACATTAGGAAGAACTTTTTCACTGAAAGAGTTGTCAGGCACTGGAACAGACTGCCCAGGGAGGTGGTGGAGTCCCCACCCCTGGATGTATTTAAAAGCCATGTAGATGTGGTGCTTAGGGCTTAGGGGTGGATTTGGTAGAGCAGGGTTTATGGTTGGACTCTGATCTTAAAGGTCTTTTCCAGCCAAACTGATTCCATGATTCTAAGAGAGTATTTTATCTGTGTGTGTGTGTTTTTTCCTCTCCCCTGTCAGCCACTGCAGAGCTGCAGCACTACACTGCCCTGGTAACTCAGCTGAGACCCTGCACAGTGCCCCCTCCTGAGGGGTGTGTTACCTCTGCTGGATCTCCTCCTTGGCCAGGTCCTGTTTCAGGATGTACTCCTCCCTGAAGACCTGCGTGGCCCTGCTCAGCAGCTGGAGACACTCCTCAGGGGGAGGAGCAGCCTCAGGATCTGCAGACCTTGGGACAGCAGAGAGGAGGTTTTGAAGTCTCACTCCAACCTGTTCCATTTGAAAGGCTCAACAAGGTAAAAGTATTCATGGCAAGGGCTCTAGGAGGACCCAGTCATGGAAGTGAGGGACTATTCATTACATCCTTCTGCTATCCATCATTTTACCTCCATGAGGCAATCCCAGGGTGTCTGGAGATCCTCAAAACCCAGTGGGGATATGTGATGAGCAACTCCAGCAGCTGAGGACAGCTCTGCTTTCAAGCAGGGGCCCAGAGCACAACACCCCAACCTCCCCCCCAACCTCCCTCACCAGCTCTGTACAGGCAGGGGACACAGGGCAGGGGACACAGGGCAGGGGACACAGGGCAGGGGACACAGGGCAGGGGACACAGGGCAGGGGACACAGGGCAGGGGCTGGCTGCAGGAGCCATGCCCCCATCAGTGCAGTGTCCCAGGCAACGTGCTCCTCAGGCAGGAGCTGATCAACACACCTCATTGCCAAGTGTTTCCCCTGCAGCCCCCCTCAGAGAAGCCCCTGACTCACCTGAGGAGCAGGGGGTTGGCAGAGCCACGCTGCAGGATCCCCAGGATGTGCTTCTCAAAGGTGTGCTGAGCCTGAGCCAGGGCACGCAGGGGGGACACAGCAGCTTCCTCCTCCTCCTCCTCCCTGCTGCACAGCAGGGCAGGGGCTGCAGGATGGACTGTGCTCCTACCAAAGAACACAGGCAGGAGGACAGGGTGTAAAGCAGCAGGACTTGAGCTGTGGCAGTTTAAAGGCAAGGGGAGGAACTCAGGCACTGTGGTGGAGCAGGAAGTCAGAGTCCCAGGAGGGATGATTTCAGTGCTGTGGGGGGGAAAGTCCTGCTCAAGAGCACACAGCCCAGATCTCTGCCTGGCCTGGCAGCTGAAATGAGCAACCCTCATCACCAGCCTTTTAATTGAGGTTCCATAACAAGCAAGAGCTTGAGCTGCTCTCCAAAGCAGCCTCCTCCACCACTGTCCACCTGGGTGATTGCAGAGAATGAGGTTTAAAAGAGCTGTAAGAAAAAACTACTTACTAACACTGCAGAAAGAGTTCTATAAAAACAACACAATACACTGTAGGAGCCTGTGACATCAGCACTGGCTCTGCTGGAGACACCCATCACACACTGAGCAGTGTTCTCAGCAGAAAAGAAGCTCAAAACAGTGTCTTCCCCTCAGTGTGTTCACTTGGTTGTGCAAATGCAGCTCTACCACAGCAGGTTGTGTCTTTCCCACCACCCCCAAGCACAGCAAAGTTGCTTTGGCAATACCAAAATCCTGGTACTTTAAAGCACATGAAAATCCCACTTCTTTTTTTTTAAACTTTCATGGAACCATGGTGCTCATGAAGCATCTCTGTACTACTGTCTGTAAGCAAGGTTTTGATTTGCAGAGTCCTAATCCTAAAAATAAATAAAAAACTCCTCAACACCACCATCAAAGAACCTTTTTGATGCCACTCTTGTCCTAATACTCATTAGAAGTGATATAGATTAATTACATCCCCTACAAACACCTCATCAGCAGTAACTAAGAACACTCCAGTGCTCAGCCAGGGAGGGTTGAGAATGGAGTGTGTCCTAAAAGGTCCAAAAGTCTGGGGTGAAAGGAGCAAAAAAAAGTAATAAAAATAATATCCTGAGACCCTTTTCATGCACCAGTGAGAGAGTTCAAACCAGTTAAGAGCCACGTACAAGAGGGGCCTTGTAATGCACTCATAGGTGTTGGTGATGCAGATCATTGTGGGGCCCAGGATGTCAGAAACAATCCAAAATCCTCTAATGGGAGCAGGTTGCCTGAAGGGAAGAGAAAACACACACAAGGATTATTTGGTTAAAAAAAAAAAGCTCTTTGTTGTTGATTTGGTGCAAATTGATGACTCTTCAGAAAGCCCAAGCTCTGGCAGAGCCCTAAGGAGTGGGTGAAATGAACATGTTGGCATCCAAAACTCTTGGCCAAATTAAGCCTCATGGGTGTCAAGTAAATGGAAGCAAAAATTTCTGTTGGTTTGATAGCTGATTTTCAGCCAGGAACACAGGAACTGAATGCTGCCCTAAGTGAGCATTAAAAATCCTGACACACAAATGGCTCATTTGTATTCTTCCCATTCTTTTTGGGCTGCCTTCTTTATTTTCAGTGGCAAGAACACAGCAAAAGAGGAGAAACTGGGAACAGTTCCCATAGCAACTCAGCAGGCTGGAAGCAAGAGGAAGGGTTTGGGTTTTACCTGCATGGCAAGGGTTTTGTACAGAGAATATGTTCCACAAAGCACTTCTGCTCTGCTCCCAGCTCCTGCAAACTGTCCTTGTCCTCTTCATCTGCAAAGAGGTTTGTCAGAAAGCATCAGGGCCACCTTGCAGGCCTCTGGGGATGCCCCCCAAGCTGTGGCCAGCAGCCCCCTGTTGTGCCCTTGCCCACTCACCTGAGCCAAGGAACTTGTGGAGCTTCTCTATCCAGGTCAAGCCCACGCTGTGGACACCAGCCTCGTGTGTGCAGTGGTATCTGGAGGGACATTTTGGATCTGAAATTCAAACAGCAAATGGAGAAGGAGGCACAAAACTGAGGAAAAGTCATCCTTCAAACCTGTGCTGTTCATTGCAGTCCAGAGAGCAGTGATGTTTTGTGGCAAGTATTAACTCAGCCCCATCCCAAAACTGAGCTAGAGGCATTAATTAGAGTTCTGCATAAAATTAAATTACACTTGGAGTAGCTGAAGCATGGTTTGGAACTATGGCTATCACACCACATCTGTACTGATCCTCTGGATTTCCCTGGGGAGCCCAGTGAGAGCCAGCAGAGCAGCATTCCAACCAGCTGCTTGTTCAGAAGGATCCCAGTGCTTTGGGCTCCTGCCCCACCACTGCACCCAGGGAGGTCTCCAGTGGACATGAGGAAGGATTTCCTGACTAACAGAGTGGTGAGGAGTGGCCCAGGCTGCCCAGGGAGGTGCTGGAGTCCCCAGCCCTGGAGGGGTTAGAAAAACATGTGGATGTGGCACTTGGGGACAGGGTTCAGTGGCCATGGGAGTGTTGGGTTGGACTTGGTTATCTAGAGATCTTTTCCAACCTTAGTGATTCTGTGGTTCTATGAATTCTGTCAGTCTGGTGGGCAGACCCCAGCTCCTCCCTCAGGATCCCCACAGAGAGAGGGGCAACAACTTCTGCATCTGAGTGTTCTGTGACCACAAGTCCCCTGCCCCTGAGGACACACACTCCAGCACCACCCAGCCTCAAATCACTGTCTCACACCAAGCAGTTTGGTCCTAAAGACATGAAATAAAGCAGGTAGAAGCCAACCCCCTGAGTGACCACCCTACCTCGGTGGAGTTTGATGGGGCAAGAGAAATCAGAGTCCAAGGGCTCCTCTTCATCTCCTGATGCCAGCTTCAGGGCAAGTTCCAGCTCAACACATTCAAACACATACAGGGAGGGAATGAGCTCAGATCTTGGGTCCCAGGACTTCTCTGACTGTAAAGAGCATTGAATTCTGCTGTGAGACATCACTTAAATAGAAACTCCACCAGCAGAAACAGCACCAAGGGTTACATAACACAGGCAAGGGTATTAACTGTCAGGGGAAGCAGCTCAAGTTCCCTTTTTTTTTACTTAAACTATCTCAGAAATAAGATATCTTCTCATAGGTTTCTCAGAAATGAGGTTCCTTCTTGAAGATCCTCTTTAAAACAGTTCATAGTAAGTTTGATCAAAGCCTGATCTACCATCAGGCCACACAGAGCTGACATTTAACAGTTTCCTGAGAGTCACACCCCAGAGAATCAGAGAGACTGGCTGGGACAGGAGTGAGACTCACTGCCTGGTGACCCACCAGCACAGCTCTGGCCCTGGCATTCACTTCCAGCCACCCCACCAGCAACTTTGACTACAGAAACAAAAACCCCTGGAGGAAAAAAAGCCAAGCCCAAGCCCTGAGGGGAGTTTTACCTGCTCCTCATCCTCCTCTCCATCCAGCACCACGCAGTGGTACAGCAGCCCCGCCTCGGTGGCGATCACCAGGATGTTGGGGACACAGGGCAGGCAGAGGACAGCACAGGCATCATACCCATAGTTGTCTTCTGCTGCAGGGTGCATGGGCAGAGGGCCCAGCAGCTTGCCCAGGCTCCTGGCACTGGAATAAAGAGGGGTGTGGAAGGAGAGAGTTTGATTTGGAACTCTGCTTTCTGTTAGCAGCAACCCAGAGTTGTGCAGATGAGAACTGGAGCTCAGGCACGAGGGGTTTTTGCAGTGGAGTTTTTTTTATGGTTGTTTTCAAAGCATTAAAAGGTGAAGAGGAAACATTTTCAGACAGGAGCACAAAGTCCTGGTGGAAAGCTCAGGGTAATTGTCCTTATCACTCCCTCTCTGGCTTAATCCAGCCCTTTTGTGGCGTGGCATTTCTCTAGGTAGCACTGCTAAAGGACTCACCCCCCTTCACTGCCCACAGACAGACCTGCTCAAGGAAACTGCTCTTTCTAGCTTAAATACCACACAGGTGACTACCCAGTTACATTGGCTCTAGCTCCCAAGTTTCCCACTGTCTTCTCAGTTTTCTGAAGTGCTTTTGTCTTGATATTCTTGCTTCCTGTTCTTGACTTTTCATCACAGAACATGCCTGAGAACCCTCTGTGATCGTAAAGTCCTTCTCTTCCTCAGACACCACTGGCCCCTCCAGCCTCACCCCAACCTAAGGATGCCTGTGCTGTGCCCCAGAGGCCCCAAAATGCACCTTAAAAACCCTTGGACCCACTGATCTTTGTGCAGCCCAGTGCTTTCATTTCCCATTTCTGCTGGTAAACAACAGGCAGTGGATTCTGGGCAGTGGAAACAGCACCCTTAACATCTGGATGGAACAGGAAGCAGCTCAAGTTCCCAGTCTACACAAGTCTTGGGGTTCAGTCTAGACAGGTCTTGGGGGTTCAGTCTACTAGCACTGCCATGAGGAGCTGAAACAAGCAGTTGACTGAAACTCAGCCCAGCCTCCCCCGCGGAGGGGGTGTCCCAGCTTCCCCAGCCCCCACCACCCAGGGTTAGGGCCCCACCTCTGTGCCAGGCTGATGTAGATGAGGAAGGTCTCTCCATTCTCATACAGGATGTACAGAGGGTAGGCCAGCACCTCCTCAGCCCCACGTTGCCCCAGGCTGTTCCTGGGCACGGGCACCAGCGGCCCGAAGTCGAAGGCCACGGCGGTCTCCCCCAGCGACGCCGTGTAGGCTCTCCGTGTGACCCGCAGGGACAGAGAGGACAGCACCATCACACCAGGTCCCTCCCCATCTGCTGGCAAGATTCTGCTCATCACACGTGTCTGCCTGTCCCCTGACAGCTGCTTGTTGCAGCAGCCAAGGCAGGCAAAGGAAGCCCCCTGCTCAGGGCAGCGCGCCCGCCAGCCCTCCCCCCACAGGAGCCCGTGCTGGTGTCCCCCATGTGCTGTGTCACTCTGTCACCTCACCAGAGGACAACTTCCTTTTCTTTTTCCCCTCAAAACTCTCCCTCAAGTGTTTCCTCTCCAACCAGGCCCAGAGGGAAAGAAAAGACCTTCTATTGTCTGCGTTCCCTGCTCCAAAAGCTGCTCTCAACCCCTCAACACAAAAAAGTGTCTGCCAAAGGACTGCTCTGACAAACTGACTGCTCTTTGCTACCACTTTCTTTTAGAGGATGGAAAAGGAACAAACAAAAAGTGCAATTCCTGTGTGAGGCAGAAGTTCTAGCACTAAAGAAGAAAAAAAAAACCCATCAGATTTTCAGGTACATTTATCCCTCATTCATCGTAAAACTATTCCCCTAAGGATTCAGAGCTTCTTCTAGCAAAAGCATTCCAAAATACAAGAAGCCAGACAAACCCTTTATTGATTTTAAGGGTCTCCTCCTCGGTGTCTGAAAGAGCAATCACCTTGATGGGTCTCTGAGGTACCTTCAGATTGTAAAACCTGGAGGAGAGGAGCAGGACAGGTCAGTCAGCAGGACCATCAGCCTGAAACATCCTATTTTTCACTGTAATCCTGGCAAGGATGGCAGGCCACAAATATCTAGTGAAAAATCAGAGTGGCTATGACAAAAAAAACCCACCCAAACTTAGCTAATAAGCTACAGTTTTACCTTATAGTGTTATCTGAAGTCAGGAGCACAATGTGGGGCTCTGCTGCCTCACAGGGATACCAGGCAGCGTGCTTTAGGGTCAGAGATGGTGAGCTTGTGAAGAACCTCTCTGCAATGGGAATGGTGCTGAAACACAGCAGAAACACTCAGTTACCACCCACACAGAAGTCACCCCTAAAGGGAAAGGGGGGCAAGAGGAGCTGGACCCCCACTGAAGAGGTTTCAAAGCACGCCCAACAAGTTTAGCTCATTTATTTGTGTCACTTGACCACCAGCAACCTCAAAAACCTTGAGGTCCCTCCAACCTCATTACAGGCAGTGTCTTTTGTATCTGTTTGGCCCCAGGAGGAGAGGCTGTGGAGGACTGAGAGCAGGACAGGGGTGTCACTGAGCCCCTGAGGTCTCACCCACCTGCAGTTCACGGTGGCTTTCCCCCCTTCAAACTCAGAATTCTTCCCCCAGCGTTTGGGCAGCTCCAGCACCATGAGCCCCTTGGTACCCACCAGTGCCACATGGTGCTGGGTGGGGCTCAGCAGCGTCTGGTACACCTCAAAAAGGGGGGGTTCTATGCAGAGAAGGGTCTGAAAAGACAAGGATTGCAGCTAAGCACAAGCCACTGTAGTATCGTAAAATCACAGGGTGGGAATTTGGGTGGGAAGGGACCTTTAAAGTTCATCCAGTCCAACCCCCTGCAGGGAGCAGGGACATCCCAACTAGAGCAGGGTGCTCAGAGCCCCACCCAACCTCACCTGGAATGGTTCCAGGGATGGGGCAGTGACCACCTCTCTGGGCAGCCTGGGCCAGGGGCTCAACACCCTCAGTGTCAAAAGCTTCTTCTCTATTTTTCCCTTCTTTCAGTTTCAAACCATCACCCCCTTGTCCTGTCACAACAGGCCCTGATAAAAGTGCCTCCCAAGCTTTCTTCTAGACCTCCTTGAATTCCTGGCAGCCCCCAGCAGGTCTCCCCAGCTGGAGCCTTCTCCTCTCAGCTGCCCGAGCCCAACTCTCTCCTGCTGGGCTCCCAGCAGAGGGGTTCCCCCCTCGGGGCATTGCTGGGGCTCCTCTGGCCCCGCTCCAGCAGCTCCCTGGCTCTGCTGTGCTGAGGACTCCAGAGCTGCCCC